AGGGCTAATTGCAAGGGTGGAAGGAAGGGTGCAAATGGCTGTGGAGACTCGGGGAGCAGCTGAGGTCGGCAAACAGGGGGAAATCGTTGGCCTGGAACGTGGCAGTTTGTTCGGGCACTCCAGTTTAAAGAATCTGGAGCTAATAAGGCGATGCGAATCGGGCACTGAAGGGATTGGGGGGGGGAGGCGTCGGGACGCTCGAGGAAGGGGCAGTCGGCGCGAGGTGAGAGAAAGGTCGAAAAAAAAGTCGCGCCCGGCTCGAATCCGTAAGTGGACGGGAGAATCGAGCGTATCGAATCGATTATCTCTGATCGTCCTGGCGCGAAGGCGCCTATCGACGCGACGCAATCCTCTCGAAATGAGCCATTGTTGCCGCCTTGTGTGGGATTCCACCCGCTCGTTCTCCATTGACCTCCGAGTGGGCACCAAGTGGTACCCGGAGCTCGACCTGGCGGTTGGTGCTGATTCCCTGGACCAGGTCCCGGGGATGATCAGATCGGCGCGACACATTAGCCTCGGAGCGTCCGAGGTAGAGATGCTGGAAAGTAGAAGACAGATAAGAGGAAGTGAAGATTCCCGAAGATTTCAAAGTTGTCTCCGATGAGAGTCTCGTTAAGTCCTGGACCGAGAGCGAAGTCGTATCCCAAGGGTGTTGACCCTTGCTCTTCGTTCCACTAATGTGGTACACGGTTGAATATCGGTATCGCATACTAAGTGACCCATCCGATAGTAATTGGACCTCATTAGGGCAACAACGGGCAATAGTTTACCTCCGTCCATTTCCTGGAGACCGAGGCAGATAACGCGTTTTAGGTAAATTAGACTCAAGAGCGCCGACCGCTACACTCCGAAACCATAAATATCCTCGCGAGTGGACTTTTCTCTCTCTCTCTCTCTCTCTCTCTCTCTCTCTCTCTCTCAAACGCGAGCACACGCACTTTTACAGATAGTCATACGAACCACGATACAGCCGTGTGTACTTTCCCCTCACAACCCCCGGACAGCCATATTCCCCTGTTCCCTCCCTTCTCCTTCGTGCACCCGTTTCATCCTCTCCCTCATACTCCACTCAGTCCTCTTGTTCTTCTTTTGCTTCTTCTTCTTCGTCTTCTTCTTCTTCCATCGTTCCACGATGCCGCGATGATGTTCCCATCCATACACATGTCCCCGACGTATACACGGCGTCTCCGAAATACGCGTCGTCCCCCGCCGTAGCGTCTCCTACGTTCAATCCGTTAGCCTCGGCTACTTCGTTAGGATGCATTTAATCATCCATACTCGGTCACCCGGTATATAAGAGCCCCCCCCACCCCCGTGTAAGGGTCCTCGTTACCCGACCTATCGCACCGATAAAATCGCCGTCGCGACGACGGCGTCTCCTTTGCTGCTTGGGGATCCTAGGAAGATGCTCGATTCAGGTTAGTCTCCTGGTACCGCGGGCAACAGTCACACTTGCTCAGTGCTACCGCAGCAACATGAGACCAGCTGATAAGGTACATCGCGAGACTCGAAGACGCTCTCACGTCGTTTCGATATTATCGGCAGACGGTTCGCCGAGTAACGGCCTTTTCCTATCGCAACAGTTAAAAGCCGCTCTGCGCCCGGAAAGAATTAAAAGCATTCGACTTCACATTTACTTGCGTCCGCACCTAATCTCGTGCTCAGGTATCCCAGCGTGTGTCTCTTACCTATCTAGAGTCTCCATTGTGATCGAGACCAGGCGGACTATGGTACTTCCTTCCCACGTACTCTCCCGATATCCGCGGATGCTTTTAAGAGTGTAGCGCGCGGCCTCCACTATAGGCGTCACTGGCACGATCCACTTGCAGTGGATGATGCTGGGCTACAGTGATGAGATTAGGATACGCATCTAGTCGGACAGTCCGAAGTTTTTTTTTTTTTTTTTTTTCGCGATCTTGAGAGTCTCGGTCTCACACGTGGCACTAGGAGCAATTAGAACTACATTCGGAAATATTTTAAACAATTTAACGGGCGACACGTTAATTAGCATACTAACGACTAGCTCGAGCTCTTCGCGTATCGTTAGGAGGAGCACTTCTTCTTCTTCTTCTTCTTCTTCTTCTTCTTCTGGAGCACGGGTTCCTCCGTTCTCTCTCTCTCTCTCTCTCTCTCTCTCTCTCTCTCTCTCTCTCTCCGCTACACGTTGAGGTTGTATTATTTTAGGATTCTGAATGGGCGTCCAGGCACACGGAGGGGCTGGAGGGAGGGGGGACGAAGAATCTTATTCCTTTTTTGGGAAGTTACGGGGACGACCCGCTTACAGACTGAAATTTACGGAAGGCTGAAAAATCTGGGAAAGTGCGAGAGAGAGAGAGAGAGAGGAGGCGCGCGGGGGCGGATGGACGCGCGACGAAACCAGTCTGGATTGGTCTCGGTCGAATTCCAGAAAGGCGCAGCGAAAGCTTCGCACTCCTCGGAATTCGAAGGTCGCCCGATGAAAACAGGGCCACAGGATGTGCGAGGCGCTTGCGCGTATGAATACATGCATGCACGTCGCTTCCTTTTCTCTCTTTTCCTTTTGATTCCTCACCATCTCCCGGGCTGCCGGTATATCAGCATTCTGGCTGGATGCACCAATTTGCAAGGCAGCCGACGGCCTTTCGCGGTCGCCCGTTCAGGACGAGGATTCGGGTCGCGGGCGCGCGCGCTTATCATGCAAATCCTTGCTGCATTGTTTTCCCGTAGCGTCAATGGAAGCAATTATGCTCGGGTCGTCATTGTGAAAATTCCGGGCCGCGCCCGGGCACGTCGTCCAAAAGCGAGGGCGTGATTCAGAAAACGTGTTATTCATTCGATGGCTGTACGACAATGCGAACCGTCGACGTCGACGTCGTGACGCCGAACGAAAGGACAAAGCGAAGACGCCGATTTGGTATTCCTCGGCCCGGACAATGAGTCTTCTTATCCTCCCTAACCCAGAATTCGAATCGCTTCCGGTGCTGCTGGGATCGCGAAACGCACTTAACCGAGAAAACTCGCGGTTTCCGCTCTTACGGCACACCGATCCAACCTGCCGTAGGTGCGCATCCGTTTCTACGTGGATTCTCCCCTCGAGGATTCCTGCCGAGCGTGACTTACCAGAATCACTTAAGTCGCGCGTGCTGACCAGATGGAAGCCTTAAAAAAAAAAAAAAATTCAGGAAGTCATTCCAAGTTGGTTCTACTTTTAATCAAGCGATAGTCAAGCCTTGGCTGGACGCGTAGGCTGGACGGAGATTACACGAGGCCAGGAAATCTACTGTTACGTTGGCTCTTAAACGTACGCATATTTCCAAGTACCTACGCAACCCGTAAATAACTCTCGAAATATCCTGACTCTCCTCGAGTCCCAGTGGACTAAGAGCGTCATAAACTCGATTATGGAGCCAATCTCCCAGTGATATCTCTGCCGGCTGAATTAGCTCGCTCGTAAAGAAACATTAGGTACCGAGGCACGTGTTAACATAGGCCAAGAATCTGAGGATCTCGAGGGTGCGCGAGGATGCTGGGGATGCCGAGGACTCAGCGACCAGGGACTAGGAGCAAGTTCAGCCGCGAGTCTCTTGGTCGCGTCGCGCATGCGCGTCAGATCGGGCCCCCGCTCGATCGGAAAACCATGGGCGAGTTTCTATGGGATCGCGAAATGACCCAGTGGACGGCCGAGCGTAGGAACGTCGCGCGATAAATCTTCGAGACGACAGACAGAATGCCACGAGTGTTCCAGGCGACGGCGGTAAGAGGTGACGACACGAGGCGAATTGTGAACGCGCCTCGAGAACACTCGGAAAGGATGGTCTACTCCGCTTGGAAATCTACCTTTATGGGATAACTCGTGGGATATAAAATGTGAGCCAGGGAGGAAACCGCGGGAATCGCGTCGTCACCATAAGCGAGCGATTTACGACACTCTGTCGTACCGATCGCCGATTCGTAGGGAAGCTTTAACGTGGTCTGGTCTACGTGGCCCCGAGTCTTGGCTTTACGAGTTAACGACAACACGACAGGTTTACGAGCCAATAAATCGGGATCTATGAAAAGATCTATCGATCGTACAATATTATTATTTCCGCCACCAACGAATTCGCCCAGCCAGGCCCCGTCCTCTG